TCAGATCTGCAACAGAAACTTGTGACCATAGTCATATTCACCAGAAGACATGTTTTTTTCCGACATGCTCCAAATTTTAAAAGCTTATTTATACTACATGCACATTCCAAAGAAGTTTTATTTTGCCTTCAAGCCATTACCAGTGAGAAAAAGGGGTTTATTCCATTAACCATAGTAAAGCAAAATAATATAAAATATCAAATAACATCCTTTCCAAGGCCATTATGAGGTTGGAGATTGTTTATATCAAATTGTCCTTTCCAAGGCCATTATGTGGGATTGAGACAGATATATGAACATCTTCAGGATAAAAAGGAGATATCTTTCATTATGTTATTTTCATCAAGAATCAGTTTTATAAGATTCAATATAGATCTATTTCCATCATTATCAGTTTCAATCATCTGAAAACGGATTGTTACTACTTCTGGTTTTGACGACAGCATTTTTAAGGAAATAAATTTTTACTAGCAATGATCACTGTGCATGTACAAATTTTCTCTATATAAAGTAATATTGTCAATTACAGAAATTTACATAGTAATAAATATTCATTAACTTTTTCACAGATAATATTTTTTCATATTTTAGTTGTCTATTTTGACTTTTGCAGTTCATAAAGTTATATAATTTTGCTAAACCTAAAGCTTCAAGTCCAGACTGGGCTGAGGTGGCTTTCGTTATGCTTTAAAAACAGTGAGCCATATGATAAATGGACAGACAGACAGAGAAATTATTAAAATGTATCTGGTCTTTGAAGGGTTCAGGATTACAAAAGTTACAGAGAAAAGAAAATTTAAAAATTCATTAATTCAATAGCTTACCAATGACATACAATATGCAGTACAGTAAATTTCTAAAGCATGTAATAACACTAATTTAAAATTGTATAATTTTCTATATTTCCTGGTCTATTTTAGACATTTCATGACTAACTTGACATTCAAAGATCATATAAAATATTTTTGTTTATGAATAATTTAGATATATAATTGTATAATGATACCCTTTTATATTTATAAAACTCCTACATGTGTACTAGATTTGTAGGTTAATCTCTGAATTTGCAAATGACAATGAATTTTCTACAGTAAGTACTATGTGTGGCAAGAAAATATTCCAATTTGTTGTATTTTGGAAAATGCAAAGTTAATAACAGACAAAACACATTGACTTTTAGATCATATTCAAGCTTTTGTCTTATTGTGTTTGTGCTGTAAGTTTCCTGTCCATCAAAGATGAGCAGTGACTAGTAATCAATTGACCAATGAAATCAAATTTTCTCGACCCATGCTTTGATAGAACTAGATATCATTGAGATGGGAGCCATCTCTGTGGGCCCCGCTGTGAATAATGTGTGGTAAAAAATTTGTATCTTTATCATTGGACATGGGGTTGTCAACTGAAACCAAAGTTTTTGACCTTGACCTTTGACCTAGGAAGTTGTACATAAATTATGACACACCCTCTGGTGTTGGTTTATATACATATCAAGTATAAACTTTGAAATCATAACGGTTCTCAAGATATAGAGCAGACACGATCTTTACCATAGGACATGGGGTTGTCAACTAAAACCAAAGTTTTTGACCTTGACCTTTGACCTAAGAAGTTGTACATACATTATGACACACCCTCTGGTGTTGGTTAATATACATGTCAAGTATAAACTTTGAAATCATAACAGTTCTCTAGATATAGGGCGGACACAATTTGTTATGGACGGACGGACAGACAGACAGACGGACAGATCACTATCGGCCGTCCGCCATAGGGCCCCGACGGACAGACGAACGGACAGACTGATCACTATAGGGCGTCTGCCATTCAGCTGGGCCCTAATAATCCTATCTAAAAAGGTGATTTTTACAGGTATTCACTGTTCATTCAGGTATACGTAGGAGGCATGAAAAATTAAACTGATTGTAAAATCATTGTAAAATCATTTGAAGTAATATTTATTTGATTGAAGTGGCCCAATGTAGATACATATATGATTGAACAAAAGTTTTAGAATTCTTACTTATGAAATCCCATGTTTTACTAGAAACTATCTCTGAACCTGAGGCTCCATTACAACCACAGCACAGCTATATCGCGGCCAAAGCAGACAAATCATTTTTTCAAAGTAAGTTTTTCAGTCAGCACAGTCAGACCAATGGCAAATGGGTTGGGTAAGCAAGTAAATCATAAATCTCTCCTATACACATATAAACAAGCCATCAAGACAATCATTTATGGTCAATTACAACATATTTACAAGTATGATAAGATTAAATTTGTCCTCTGATTTAGAGGATGAGATTAGAAATTCTTATATGGAACTTATGATCAGTCTTGCCAAGTTTTAATTGAATTTGCATGTTGCTTAAACAAGTGATATGAATGTAAATGGTCAGTACAACAGTTGCTGGTCAGTACAACAGATGCTGGTCAGTACAACAGATGCTGGTCTGTACAACAGATGCTGGCCAGTCCACAGATGCTGGTCAGTATAACAGTTGCTGGTCAGTACAATGCTGATCAGTACAACAGTTGCTGGTCAGTACAACATATGCTGGTCAGTACAACAGTTGCTGGTCAGTACAACAGATGATGCTGGTCAGTACAACAGATGCTGGTCAGTACAACAGATGTTGGTCAGTACAACAGTTGCTGGAAGGTACAACAGATGTTGGTCGGTACAACAGTTGCTGGTCAGTACAACAGTTGCTGGTCGTTATAACAGATGCTGGTCGGTACAACAGTTGCTGGTCAGTATAACAGATGCTGGTCAGTATAACAGATGCTGGTCAGTACAACAGTTGCTGGTCAGTACAACATTTGCTGGTCAGTACAACAGTTGCTGGTCAGTACAACAGTTGCTGGTCAGTACAACAGTTGCTGGTCAGTACAACAGTTGCTGGTCAGTACAACAGTTGCTGGTCAGTACAACAGATGATGCTGGTCAGTACAACAGATGCTGGTCAGTACAACAGATGCTGGTCAGTACAACAGATGCTGGTCAGTACAACAGTTGCTGGATGGTACAACAGATGTTGGTCGGTACAACAGTTGGTGGTCGGTACAACAGTTGCTGGTCATTATAACAGATGCTGGTCAGTACAACAGTTGCTGGTCAGTATAACAGATGCTGGTCAGTATAACAGATGCTGGTCAGTACAACAGTTGCTGGTCAGTACAACAGTTGCTGGTCAGTACAACAGTTGCTGGTCAGTACAACAGTTGCTGGTCAGTATAACAGTTGCTGGTCAGTACAACAGATGCTGGTCAGTACAACAGTTGCTAAGCAATTTTCAAATATTCACTAAATATCTCAGTTAACTGAAAATTATGTATCTTTTTTTTTTAATTTAGAATAATTTTATTCTCATTAATAAATCATCTTACCTTGCATTAAGATATTCCTATGAATAGTAAAGTATAATGTTTCTCATCTAATTTTTCACTAAACTCTGTCTGCTCAAGTCTGTACAGATATAGTACCAGTACCAGAATAGGCTAACTTACTTTAATGTTTATAAATTTGCAGGGTTATATATCAGTTGTGCACATTATACCAATTAAGAGGCCACTTTGATGTAAAGATACACTACTGAACTACTGAAGTAACACACACTTTTATCAAGGACTTTGTAATTCTTTAATGGGGTTCTTTCAGGATTTTACCATTTTTTGTGCCATCTGAATTAATTCCGGAAGAGAATCCTCAATCGACAGATAAATATTTCGTACTTACTTGAGTAGTTTGAAAGGTGAATTTATCAATTAAATCAATTCGCTGTTTCAGCTGCCTGATCTTTAACAAAAATTTAAAGAATATGCCAATTATATTTATTTATATGAAATAAATTAAGTAACAGTTCTGATGGTATAATGACTGCAGTCAGGTATACACTGCCTTATACATTTCCACTTTCATGTATATGATAAAAGTCATGTAAGCTTAACATCTTAGCTGTATGGCTTCTTATCAAACAGAGAATTAAAGTCTACTGTGAATAAGAAGAACAAAAATGAGATGTGGTATGATTGCCTGAATCAGACATTATTCCAACAGAGTCTAAATGACATGGATTTTAGCAATGATAGATCAGTCCCTACTGCCTTCAACAATGAGAAAACCCCATAATTTTTATCATTTTACTTTGCAAGCATCTTGAAGGATAAATAAAACATTATCACCCCAGTAATAATTCCCCTTTATTATTCCCTTGACATCCTTACATTCCATATAAGTTTATATTGATTTACAAAAATTATCAGAGATTATTTGGAAAAAAACAACAATTATTACATTTTCCTGCCAGTAATCAAGGAAGTTCCTTAGTATCATGCAATAATAACTGTTTTATAAGACATATCCAACCCATTACTTGTTTAGAGTTGTCTGATTCTTTTTGACTCATTGCAAATGAGACAACTATCGACCAAAGACCAAAGGTCAAAGGTCAAGGATGAGGAAAAAAGGTCAACATGTGGCATGTTTTTAACTTCACTTCAAAAATAAATCTGATCAACCAATGGTTAATATTTGTTATTTATGTAACGCTTAGAGTTTATTCATTGATTTTGATCTGTTTTTTTTTTCTATTAGAAATTGTTTTTAGAGCTAACGAAGATCTTTAATGCTGTACAGAATAGTTTATAGAAGACAGACCTAACGAAGATCTCTAATGCTAAACAGAATAATTTATAGAAGACAGACCTAACGAAGATCTCTAATGCTGTAAAGAATAATTTATAGAAGACAGACCTAACGAAGATCTCTAATGCTGTACAGAATAATTCATAGAAGACTGACCTAACGAAGATCTCTAATGCTGTACAGAATAATTTATAGAAGACAGACCTAACGAAGATCTCTTATGCTGTACAGAATAATTCATAGAAGACAGACCTAATGAAGATCTCTAATGCTGTACAGAATAATTTATAGAAGACAGACCTAACGAAGATCTCTAATGCTGTACAGAATAATTCATAGAAAACTGACCTAACGAAGATCTCTAATGCTGTACAGAATAATTCATAGAAGACTGACCTAACAAAGATCTCTTATGCTGTACAGAATAATTTATAGAAGACAGACCTAACGAAGATCTCTGATGCTGTACAGAATAATTCATAGAAGACTGACCTAACGAAGATCTCTAATGCTGTACAGAATAATTTATAGAAGACAGACCTAACGAAGATCTCTTATGCTGTACAGAATAATTCATAGAAGACAGACATAACGAAGATCTCTAATGCTGTAAAGAATAATTTATAGAAGACAGACCTAACGAAGATCTCTAATGCTGTACAGAATAATTCATAGAAGACTGACCTAACGAAGATCTTTAATGCTGTACAGAATAATTCATAGAAGACTGACCTAACAAAGATCTCTAATGCTGTACAGAATAATTTATAGAAGACAGACCTAATGAAGATCTCTAATGCTGTACAGAATAATTCATAGAAGACTGACCTAACGAAGATCTCTAATGCTGTACAGAATAATTCATAGAAGACTGACCTAACGAAGATCTCTAATGCTGTACAGAATAATTTATAGAAGACAGACCTAACGAAGATCTCTAATGCTGTACAGAATAATTCATAGAAGACTGACCTAACGAAGATCTCTAATGCTGTACAGAATAATTTATAGAAGACAGACCTAACGAAGATCTCTTATGCTGTACAGAATAATTCATAGAAGACAGACCTAATGAAGATCTCTAATGCTGTACAGAATAATTTATAGAAGACAGACCTAACGAAGATCTCTAATGCTGTACAGAATAATTCATAGAAGACTGACCTAACGAAGATCTCTAATGCTGTACAGAATAATTTATAGAAGATAGACCTAACGAAGATCTCTAATGCTGTACAGAATAATTTATAGAAGATAGACCTAATGAAGATCTATCAGTTCTATGGCTTTATCCTTTATCATAATCAAATTTTATCACCCTTTTATTAATTGAATCATATGATATTTAGCTGTAAACAAGGTGATAATACAGAATAAAACATTGATTGGAAATCTGAATGCTTAAGAGTTTTATCAGTTGTACAAGTAATAAAGTGATATTCAAACTCACATTGAAGTTCAAAATGAACTGACAACGGCATGGTAAAAAACGACCAATGACCAACAACAGTCTATAAAACACAACATAGAAAACTAAACACTGAGCAACACAAACAACAACAAAAACTTTTAGGTGATCTCAGGTAAATAAGTTTGTTTTTTTTATTAATCTCTTTTGTAATATAATGTATTTAGAGAAATAATTTCCATATACATGTACTACATTTAAAGATCCAGAATAAATTAATTAAATTTCTGACTAAAAAACCAATAATTTGAGTTAAATTTCATTTATAAAGATTAATTGATCAACTGGCTAGAAGACCTGCCTTTCCAGCTTTTATATATATAAGCACACAGCCTTTTTATATCTGATCAAATTGCCAAGCAGGTTATCAAAATTTACAATAAAATCCCTGATTGATTGATTGATTAGTGACACCAGCATCAAATTCCTTAAACCCACCCAACCCCGTCCCCCTTTTTCCTCCAAATTGAGGAGATGTTAAAAAGTTAACAGTAAGACCTGACACCAACATCAAATTCCTTAACCCCTGCCCCCTCTTTCCTCCAAATTGAGGAGATGTTTAAGAGTTAACAGTAAGACCTGACACCAACATCAAATTCCTTAACCCCTGAGCCCCCCTTTTCCTCCAAATTAAGGAGATGTTTAGGAGTTAACAGTAAGACCTGACACCAACATCAAATATTTTAACCCCTGAGCCCACCCCCCCTTTTTCCTCCCACATTAAAAAAATACCTAAAATTCTAAATGACAAAGGCTGACGGGACTATTTAAAAGCTATTACATTACATATATACTAAATAGATGGCATTTCTCTTTTCCTTAAGTTTGTATTGTATGTCCAATTTAAAAGCTATTTCATTACATATATACTAAATATGATGGCATTTCTCTTTTCCTTATGTTTGTATTGTATGCCCAATTTAAAAGCTATTTCATAACATATATACTAATTATGATGGCATTTCTCTTTTCCTTAAGTTTGTATTGTATGTCCAATTTAAAAGCTATTTCATTACATATATACTAATTATGATGGCATTTCTCTTTTCCTTAAGTTTGTATTGTATGTCCAATTTAAAAGCTATTTCATTACATATATACTAAATATGATGGCATTTCTCTTTTCCTTATGTTTGTATTGTATGCCCAATTTAAAAGCTATAACATTACATATATACTAATTATGATGGCATTTCTCTTTTCCTTATGTTTTTATTGTATGCCCAATTTAAAAAGCTATTTCATTACATATATACCAAATATGATGGCATCGTCTTTTCCTTATGTTTGTATTGTATGCCCAATTTAAAGCTATTTCATTACATATATACTAAATATGATGGCATTTCTCTTTTCCTTATGTTTGTATTTTATGTCCAATTTAAAAGCTATTTCATTACATATATACTAAATATGATGGCATTTCTCTTTTCCTTATGTTTGTATTGTATGTCCAATTTAAAAGCTATTTCATTACATATATATACTAAATACGATGGCATTTCTCTTTTCTGTATGTTTGTATTGTATGCCCAAGTTTAAGTTTATATTCTACACTTAAGGTGGTACCTAACACTACAGGGAGATAACTCTGTAAAAATCAGCTAAACGTTTTAATTACGTTGTTTTGTTAAGGAAATATTAAACTTCTCAATGATCAAAATTAGTGTTTGTCAAACTGCTATATAACCAATGAAATTTTTCTGATAAAGTGGTTGGTTCAAATTTTTTGAAATTTTTATATTTTTGTCAAAGGGTCAAAGTAAACATTTTGTCAAAATTTTATGAAAATTAAACAAGCCAAATTAATATTAGTCAAGGTGTTGGGTACCACCTTAATATCTAATTCTATGATGAATGAAGAAGTTGGAGGCATAAGGAGCTGCCAAAGTTGACCTCACTATGGCACCAACTTGTAACAACTTAATTAAGCATTATAACCTCAGGCATGGTAAGTTATTTATTTGTAACTATAATGGCCATCAGCTGTTGTCTATTTATAATAGGTAGATGATTTTTTCATCTTTAACTAATTGAGATAACTAATTGTGAAGTCCATCACTCCATTTGTCCATCAGACTCCCACCGATCTGTAAGAGTCTGTAAATCATGTTCTCTTTGTACACAGGATATCATATAAAAAATATCTGTAATTAGATCAGTTTTCAACGACTTCAGTCATTTGTATTAATTTTAATAACATAACACGGAAAATTTCAGCAAACGTACAATATTAAACAGCATTCTAAAAAATAATATTTTATTTCTTAAGGAATCCCCTCTCATGAAACCATAGTCCAAAAAATTTATAATGACGTCTTGAAAGGTCGCAGGTAGGCGTCACAGCACAAAATTAAAATAGTCTTTCAAGACGTCATAATTATTTTGACTAATGAAACCAGAAATCATCAATAGAACTCATTACATCAGTTTATTCATAAATAGGTTTATTTTTCCATTTTACTATTTTGTATCAGCAACTCCTTAACCTATGTCTGGATTTCAACGGAACTTTAAACTAAGAGGCTGTCAAAAAGACAGCAAACTAGGCTTTATTCCGGTTCTCTGAAACATCCCTAGTACCCGATTGAATAGTTATCCTCCTATTCTATTTCTTGATGCATACTGTGACCCATTGTTTGATTGATTGTTGGTTGCTTAACCTCCAGTGGTAAATATTTCATGCATGTTCAGGACGATTGTTCATTAATGACCCTCCTCCCAGTAAGTATTTAAAAAAACAAACAAACAGGAAATGATGAGTGATGAATTTGAAAATGCATGGTGGGGGCAACCTTAAAGCATATCTGTACAGAGAGGGGGTATAATTATTTTAGGGTTTCCTATAGCTTCACACCAGTAGCCAGTGGCGGATCCAGAAATTTTCATAAGGGGGCCCACTGACTGCTTAAGAGGGGGCCCGCTCCAGTAATGCTTCAGTGATTCCCTTAATAATCAACCAAATTTTTCCCACAAAAGGGGGGGGGGGGGCCTGGGCCCCCTGGAAAACCCTCAAAATCCGCCTCTGGTAGCTGTGCTATATAAATATGGAACCCATACGGGTAGCTGTGATGTATAAATATGAAACCCATACGGGTAGCTGTGATGTATAAATATGAATTAAACACATACCGGTAGCTGTGATGTATAAATATGAAACACATACTGGTAGTTGTGCTGTACATTTCAAAGAATGCAGAATGTAAGTTTCAGAGAAATAATTTAAATAGTTTCTAAATCAGTCTACGCTAGTAAATTTGAACTGAGCTAGATTTAAAAATAAAATGCTTCGCTGGGTGCAGCTTGATACGACCACAGAGGTTGAACCCTGATCAGTTGGGGCAAGTATGGACACAACATTCAAGCTTGATACAGCTCTGAATTTGGATTGTGATTAAATATTTGACACAGCATAGGTTTCTGACACAAAAAGAATGTGGTCTAAGAACTTGAATTTTTTTAATTTACCTATTATGGTTCAATGTCCAAAATCAAAATACATGGTTAGATTCAGCATATCAAAGAACCCCATATATTCAATTTTTGTTGAAATCAAACAAAGTTTAATTTTGGACCCCAATTTGGACCAACTTGAAAACTGGGCCAAAAATCTAAAATCTAAATACATGTTTAGATTCAGCATATCAAAGAACCCAAAGAATTCAATTTTTGTTAAAATCAAACTAAGTTTAATTTTGGACCCTTTGGACCTTAAAGTAGACCAATTTAAAAAACAGGACCCAAAATTAAAAATCTAAATACACGGTTAGATTTGGCATATCAAAGAACCCCAATAATTCAATTTTTGATGAAATCAAACGAAGTTTAATTTTGGACCCTTTTGACCTCAATATGAACCAATTTGATAGCGGGGTCCACAAATAAAAAATCTAAATACATGGTTAGATTCAGCATATTAAAGAACCCCATGTATTCAATTTTTGTTGAAACAAACAAAGTTTAATTTTGGACCCCAATTTGGACCAACTTGAAAACTGGGCAAAAAATCATAAATCTAAATACATCTTTAGATTCAGCATATCAAAGAACCCCATATATTCAATTTTTGTTAAAATCAAACAAAAGTTTAATTTTGGACCCTTTGGACCTTAATGTAGACCAATTTGAAAACTGGACCCAAAATTAAAAATCTAAATACACGGTAAGATTTGGCATAACAAATAAATAAATGTGGTCAAAGATTTTACAAATCTAATGCGCCATACTGTGCAATTTTAAAAAGATTACTTCTTGAAATTTTTCAATATTTGAAATTTGAAAAAAAAATAATATTTGAAGAATAATTCTTTTTAATTTCTGAAATCTGAAATGAGAAAAAATTGACCCCCCACAATTTCTTTTTACCCCCCCCCCCCCCTTTTTCCCCCAAAAAATTCTTTCCCTCAGGATATGGTCATAATCTCAATTCAAATTTCCAATGGAGTTTGCAACCATAATTACCCATTTAAATTTAACATAGTGCTAACTTAATCTATTTTATAATAGAATTTAAAATATAGTGTCAAATCTTTCATATGGACTTTTTTGTAAAAAAAA